TTAACATAGATGTTAAAAGAAACAGAGGGTAAGTGAGGAGAAATTTTTTCACACAGCGAGTTGTTCGGATCTGGAATGCATTGCCTGAAAGGCTGGTGGATGCCGATTCGATAATAACTTTTATTAGGGAGGAGAAGTTTGCAGGGCTATGGGGAGAGAGCGGGGGAGCAGGATTGAATTGGAGTAGCTCTTTTCAAAGAGCTTTTTACAGAAACGATGAGCCGAATGGCCTCATTCTGCGCTGTATGATTCTACAGGGATCAGCTTGATTCAATTGGTAGCAGTCTCGCCTCTGAGTCGGAATGTTGAATGTATGGAACTCACTACCCCAAAGGGCTGTTGACGCTCAGTCCTTGAACATATTCAAGACTGAGATAGATTTCTTATTGCAAGAGGGATTAAGAGATATGGGGATAAGGCAGGGTCAGGGTATTAGCTGGAGTTAGCTTAGAAGATCAGCCATGATTGAATGGCGGGGAGGAATCGAAGGGCCGAATGGCCTACTCCTGCTCCTACATGTTATGTTGTAGGTTCAAGCCCCACATCAGGACTTAGATCTCAGCATTCAGGCTGACACTCCAGTGCAATGCATTGTCAGAGGTGGCGTCCTTCAGTTGGGACATTAAACTGAGGTCCAGTCTGCTTCTCAGGTCAGCATTAAAGATCCTATTCGATAGAGAGAAGAGGGCTCCTCGCAGTTTGCTGGCCTCCAGATCAAATTGTCCTGTCACTCCTTGGCTCACATGGGAACAAGCAAATTGGCTACTGCGTTTGCCTGTAAATACAAAGCCTCTACAGCAAAATTCTGGGAAGCGCTTTGAGATGTTTTGATGATGGTAAATAAAGATTGTTATGATCAGAGAGAGCTGGGAAAACTCAGCAGGCCAGGCAGCATCTATGGAGAAAGGAAAGTGAGTCAACATTTCAGGTCCACAACCTTTTGTCAGAACTGGGGCATGTTGGCAGAGAGATTTTTAAGGACAAGTTGAGAGGGGGAGACAGGACAAAGAAGCCAAAAAAGACAAAGAATTTGTTAGTTGATGGGTTAAAGAGGTGATAGTGGCGTAAAACAAAAGGGGAGGGGGTGGGTTGAAACAAAACTGGGGAGAAGAGGTGTTAAAAGTGCAGAACAGGCAACATACCAGAGAGAGACAAAAAGCTTCTGGGGTGATGATTGTAATGATAACAGAAGATAACTCTTCTGGTAAAAGGGGGAGGGTGGAAGGTGAGCTGTTATTGTCTGAAGAGGCTGAAATCGATATCGAGGCCAGAGGCCTGTGGGGTCCCTAGCAGATAGATAAGATGCTGTTCCTCAAGCTTTCGCTGTGGATCATTGGAACAGCGTAGGAGACCATGGATGGAGAGGTCAGACTATGGGGTGTGAGTTAAAATGGCAGTAGACCAGACGTCTACATACAGAACAGAGGTGTTCTGCAAATTAGTCACCAATCTGCGCTTAAGTCTCCCCAATATAGAGAAGACCACACCGTGAGCAGCAGATAGTAGAAACAGTAGAAAGCTGTAGATATAGTTCACTTCTGTCATTATAGTTCGGAATGTCTGTCAGACATCAAATCCTGGATGAGGGGATAACTTTCTACAGTTGAATGTCAATAAGACCGAGGCTCTCCTGATTGGCTCCCATCAGCGCCGCCACACCTCAGGCATTGACAGCATCACCATCCACGTATGCACACTCCACCTCACCAGTCCGGAAACTTGAAGTCTTGACCCTCAATTGTCTTTTCTACCCCACATCCATGCCATGACCTGCACTGCCTTCCCCCACCTCCGCGCAACATTCCCAGGTTTGCTGTCTACTTGTGTGTATCTAGTTTACAGCCTAAAGCTACTGAAGTCTCTCTCTAGTACAGATCGAGCTTTAAGTTTGCCTGTGAGTTAGAAGTTACACACCAGAGTTGCCTCACCCCTCAGGCCGCCAAAACCCTCATCCACGCATTCATCACATCTAGGCTCGACTACGCCTACTCCCTGCTTGTTGGCCTTCCCAACTCTTCCCTCCACAAGTTGCAGATCATCCAGAACTCTGCAGTTTGTGTCCTCTTGCATAGCAGGCTCTGTGACCCCATCACTCCCACCCTCGCCCGGCTCCACTGGCTCCCCATCCCCCAGAGGATAGAGTTCAAAATCCTCGTCCTCGCCCTCCATTCACTCCTTCCTACCTCTACGACCTGCTGACCCCCTATCAACCTGTCTGCTGTCTCTGCTCAGCAGGTTTCAGCCTGCTCCACGTAGTCCGCTTGGCCCACCCCACCATCGCGGTCGGGCCTTCAACCTTTCTGCCCCCACCCTATGGAACCCCATCCCACATTCCCTTTGCCTCGCTCCTTCAAGGCGCGTGTCAAAACTCTCCTCTTCTACCGAGCCTCTGGCCACATTCCTACCCTCCCTGATCCCAACCCTCGGAGAATTGGGTGATATCCCTGATTGTCCAGTGCCTTGGGACATCCTCCCGACGTGAAGTGTGCTATAAAAATGCAATTTTGTATTGTATTTCACCCACAAAATATACAATCACTTTTCAGTGTATTCTGTGAAGTGCTTTGAGACGTCTCGAAGAGGTGAGAAGGCACTATATATTTTATTATACATCATAGAATTATACAGCACAGAAGGAGGCCACTCTGAGTTTGAAAAGAGCTTCCAAATCAATCTCTCGTCCCATAGCCCTGCAAACTTCTCCCCAAATAATTATCTACTGCTCTCTTAAAAGTTGTTATTGAATCGGCTTCCACCAGCCTTTCAGGCAATGCATTCCAGATCCCAACAACTCGCTGCATGAAAAAATGTCTCCTCCTCATATCTAGACTTTAAAAATGCCTCAACATTGTATCTTCAGATAACAGCAAATTCAGTTCCTGAATCACAACCGGTTTTCCACTTTATTTTCTTAACTATCTTCAGATGATCTTTTTGATATAGGATATTGATATGTGCTGGAGGCCGGGGCAGTGGAACCTGAGGCTGATGGCAGATTTCACGAAGGCACACATTCTGTTCCTGCCAACAATGAATGCACCTGCCTCAAAGCAAGGGCCCTACCTTCCGCTTTAGAGGCTTGATTCACCCTGTTCACTTTCTTTGCTTTTCACTTCTTGTGTTTGATAATGTGTTCATTAAAACTCACTTTCACAGCAACTATCTCAGGCTCCAACTTATTCCATATGGATTGGATTCCAGCTTAAATTCCACCCTTCCTGCTCGGATCCACCCACGATCACAGATACCTCCGTGAAATTCAGTGTCACTCTAACTACTGCTCTCTCTGCCTCATGAGGTCTACCCTCTTCACCATGCAACGGACGACACGTGCATGTTCTCGACCTTTCTCTTCAGCAGCGCCAACTCTATTTCAGAGTGGTCCGAGGCCTCAGTTCCATTTCATCCTTCGCCTCATTCGACACTTTAACAAAAAAATTGTTTTCTTTCTTTTAGATGGCAAGGACCACAAGCTCCTGATCCTTCCACCGCTTCACCTTCTTCTGACCCGCCCTCCCTCCAATCTCACCCCTTGTCATATTTTCGCTATCCCTTCTCATCTTCCTCTCTGATCCTGAACGATCCATCCTCAGCAAAGGGCTCAGCCCCCCCCTCCCACCCCAACCAATGAATTTCGAGCTAGACATAACGCTGAGCTCTTCTTCCGCCTCCTTCGCCTTTTTGCCCAGCAGGTTTCCCCGTTTTCTCCTGTCTTCAGAAGTCCCGTTCCACCTGGACCCCTCCCTCTGACCTCCTTACTCTCCCTTGATCCGTCCATTGAGAACTGCCGGCATGACATTGGCCATGTTGGTTTCTTTTATCTCTTCACTCACTCAAATCTTTCTCTCTCTGAACTTGCTGCATTCCGTTCTCTCAGGTCCAGCCCTGACATTATTGTTAAACCCGCTGACATGGGAGCGACTGTTGTTGTGTGGCAAAATTACCTCTACTTTGCGGAGGCTGAACGCCAACTGTCTGACAACTCCTCCTACCTCCCTCTGAACTATGACGTCACAACTAAACACCAAGCCGTCATCTCCTAGACCGTCACTGATCTCATCTCCTCTGGAGATCTTCCCCCACACACCTCCAATCTCGTAGTCCCCCAATCCTGCACAGACCCCCAAACACCGCAGACCGCCTCTACCTCCTCCACAAACAGGATTGTGTTTCTATGTCGGATCAGGATAGGATCGGGCTCAGCTGTAGTTATATTTGGCCAACATGCACTGTAATGGATCACAATTAAATAATGATTATCTTGGTTGAGGACTTGGATAGTGCCAAGTTGTACTATACCCCAGTAGAAAGAGAAGGAAAACCAGATTGCTTTCAGAAGAATTTTCTGTCGGACAGCCAGAAGTCAAGCACATGTTTAAGAATTTTCAAACCAGTCAGAGTGCCACACACGCATGCCACCTGTGCACGGAAAGTTTTCATTTGTCTGGAACGGAATGCATACTTTCTCCCTGGTGGGCTGGCACCCCGCTAACCTAAATGGGAAAGTATTGCCCGTCTGGTTTATGGAGCAGAATACTGAGACCGCCACAAACGATCGACTCGATTCCAACATTCCATTGCCAGCCACGTCATTCTGGAACAAACTAAGCCCCGTAGTGACCTGATTCCCTCTCTTCCCTCCCACCCCAAGGAGGATACCTTCGGTGAAAAACTTATTTATAATATTAATGCTTGATTTGATATAGCACCTTACCACGTCTTCATGATGTCTCAGACTGTAAAGTGAATTGACTGCATATTTTGCGGGTGCAACAATTATTTAATATTCCTTACATCTGATATAGCGCCTTATCACGTAGGAAGGACGTCTCAAAACACTTCACAGTATTTACTGTGAAATGGAGTGACTGTGTATTTGTAGGCAAACGTGGCAGCACAATTGTACACAGCAATGTCCCCCAAACAGGCATGAAACAAACATTAAGAGTTAAGGCACTACATGGACAGATATCAATAATTTTCCCACATTTTGTACTTACCATGCTCCAACATCTCCTCGGCAGTCTGTAGTATAGTCATTCATGCAGTCTAAGAGGGTGCTGTATATCTGGGAGATATTACTTTGGCAGATGACCCGATCATGTGATCCATTAATCTCCACTCCCACTGTTTTGCAAACTCTGGATTGAAACATTTAGGGGAGAGAATTATCAGAAAATAATCCCTTTTAAATTGCAAGTTCAATTTAACCAGATGCAATTTGCTTGGGCACGAAGCAACACTACTATTGTGGCAGTATATTCTTCCTCCCCCACCCTCTCTTTGTTCTGGGCATTGCACCAAACCGTGATTCCTGATGCTGAAAATAAAGTGAAGGAAATTTTTTTTTTTTTTTTAAATATTTTTAAAGAACTGGCAACTCATTATTAAAATGTTAAAAATAAATTTCTCAGAAAACTTAAGGACTATTTTTGAGCAATTCATTTGCACCCATTCCTGTACGTGAGTTTGACAGTCGAGTTCCCATACGGTTTACTTTCTGATCATGTGGCTGAACCTTATAATAATCCATACATTTGATATAGCGTCTTATCACGTCGTTGAGATGTCTCAAAGCGCTTCACAGGAATATACTGTGTATAATAAACAAAATAATAAAATGAATTGACTGTATATATTGTGGGCAAAACAGTGCAGCCATTTACGCACAGTAGTGTCCCACAAACAGTTGTGGATCGTGACCAAATTATTATTTTCTCTGTCTATCTGTTTGCATTTATTTAGTTATTTATTTTTGAAGAGATTACCACCTGCGGAAAGCAATCTGCCAATCGACTAATAACCGGGTTCCTTCTTACTGCTTGGTAAACAGAGGCATGTGTGTGGAGTAAGAAAACTGAGGTTTCAACCCGCCCGGAAATCAAACATGAGTCCTCTCGCTTACAAGACGAGTTCTCAGCCTTGACATAACGCAGTGCAACAAATACAGCAAAACCCAGAAACTGGGGCAGAGATACCCTGCACTAATCTTGCTTTGAGGTGAGCACGAGACAAGGCCCTGGAGTTCAGGACCTTGAACTCCCCCACTACAATGCAGCAGCAATGGACAACTCAGCTCATGAAAGATCCCTGCAACTCCCACCAAAGTAGAACCGCTTCTTTAGGTTAGGAATGGAAAGTGAAACACTCTGCGAGTTTTTGTTCTCAAAACAAATGCATTGATCACCCGAAATGACTCAAAGTGGCCTGGGTCACACAACACAAGTAAGCACTGCAACTGTTCGGAATCTATCAAACAAACAACAAAAATGTCGAAGAATATACTTTGAGGATAGTTTTTCCCATGGCGTTTACCACACTATTTTAAAGTGGGCTTCCTGGCATCTAGGACAGTTTTGTAGAAGTATTAAATGATTTCCAATACTTTGATTTTCCCTCCCTACCGAAAGTCACTTGCGTGCATGCGTCCACATGCTCACGTAGCGACCAATTTACAAACTAACTGAACACAGTGAATTTGGAGTAAATCCTGTGAGACCGTACTGAGCAATAGCCTTCAGTGCATCTCTTCTGGCGTCAGCGCAGGTAGCGTCTTTCACTGTGATCCACGTGACTTTCTGCAATCCTTCTAAAACCTACGAGATGGAAAAAAAGAGAGAATTACAACAAATAGTCAGATAGAAATCAAAGGAGGTCACTTCCCCTGCATAGCCACACTCACTCTGGTAATAATATATATAATATATAATAATTATTGTGTTTGATAAATGTAGCACCTTATCAAGTCTTCGAGACATCTCAAAGCGTTTCACAGAATATACTGTAAAATGAATTGATTGTATATTTTTGTAGGTGAAACGCAGCAGCCAATTGCGCACAGCAGCGCCCCACAAACAGCCATGGATTTAGTGACCAAATAAGAGAAATTAACCAATTAAGGTATCCAACGAACAAAAGCACAACCTGACCTATGTATTATCTACTTCAGTTCTAACTTTAATGGTACAAAGCATAATAGATGTTAATTCAATGTTATATTCAATTAGATATTGCATGATGCTATTGAACCTGAATTCATATCTACACACCTCTTGTGGGTATCTAACTTTTTAACAGTTGGTGATAGGTTTTTTTAAATATATAAAGTCTTACTCTTTCGTGTCAACCTTTTTCAAAGCTCCAACCAGCTTTTAGTGTCGAGGGACCACTTGTGGCAACTTAATCAAGAGAGGAACAGAAACAATAATAACTTGCATTTGTATAATGCCCCTGACACAGGGTAGCGTCCCAGAGCGCTTCAAACAGAAAGCCAGAAGGTAAGAGAACATTAGCGTTCAGAGGATGGCAGTATTCCTTTCAGAGACTAAACATGCTTCTTAGGATTTCTCTTACTAATTTGGGGCATAGTGTAGTAGTTAGCGCGCTTGCCTCGCAAGCGAGAGGACTCGGATTCGATTGCCAGGTTGGACAAACCTTAGGAAAGTTTCCTTACTCCACACACCTGTTTACCGAGCGGTAAGCAGGAACCTAGGATTGTTGGATCCCTTCTGGTGTAATAATCCCTCCAAGGTTTGGTCACTCAATCCATGTCTGTTTGTGGGACACTGCTGTGCGTAATTGCTGCTGCATTTCGTTCACAAAACATACGCCCACAAAACAGTCAATTCACTTTACAATATATTCTGTGTGAGAAGTCTCAACAACCTAATAACCAATATAACGCGAGGTTTATTATGCCAGATTTGTAGTTACAAATGTTGCAGAGGTTTGGGCACTGACCTGGTGAAGCATCCCATCCAGCATAAACTTAGGGAGGGCACCCAGAGCTAAGGAGAAGCCACAACGAGTCATCTCCTCCGACGTCCCCAGCTCTGAAATGTACTTGTTCAGTTGGAGAGCTAAGGAAAATATGAAATTGAACAGAAGCGACAAACTTAGAAAACCGCTCACTTTACATGTAAATCACAACTGGCTTCTGTGATTATGTTATAATCTCCCACATCCCCAAAGGGCAGCACGCGGTTTCAATATCCATTACAGCATAAAATCATTAGGAATAAAGTGGACAGATGAAGAGGCACCCCCACTATCAGAGAAATAGCTATCTTTTGTCTGCTTTTCTGCACAAAGCTTCCTTTCAATACTGTAATTTCTGAATCTTTTGGGGATTAGAGTGGCTGGTTTAACTGGAGAAGTTAACACCCAGCACAGGGTCGATGGGCCGAATCTCACAGCCTTAAAATAAAACCCAAGATAGTGTGAATCAAGGTCTGAAGCTTTTCTTCACAAAGAGGGTTGTGAAGTTGTGGAACGCTCTGCCCCAGAAAGCTGTAGAGGTGAAAACAAATTTATGTTAGGAAATAATATCAGGATACAGTTTGGGGTCTGACACGTGCAAGCGACTGCCAGGATCATGGATGGCGAACTGGATGGACTGTGGTCTTCTTTCACCAGCAAATTCTTTTCTTCTTATGAAAATAATGGGGATGCTTAAAAAAAATACAGATTGGGTAGAAGAACTTTTAAGGCGTATGGTGAAAAGGTGAAACTTCGGGATCAAAAGATCTGCTAAGGTCTAATAAAGTGGAAGAACAGGCTCCTGAGGCTGAATGGTCTTCTTCTGTTCCCGTCTTCTTACCTGTGCTGCAATTTCCAGGATTCTAAAAAATCCACTGAACCCTGGTATGCTATTGAGAACCTGCACTAAATGTCATTGTTTATCCTGTGAAAATGTATAAATACCAAACAACCTCCGACTTTAATATTCTCCAACCACATTGTCATTGGCAAATTTGGCACCCACTGGGTTAATAAATAATAATAACAATCCTTGAGTTTGATATTGCGCCTTATCACGTCTTCGAGATGTCTCAAATCGCTTCACAATATACTGTAAAGTGAAGTATAGTTTGTATAGTCTGACTACAAGGATAGTCTGACTATAGTTTGTGGGTGAATTTTGTGGGTATCGCACGAATATTACTCTTTCTGTGTTCATGTGATGTAATCTTTTCATTTGCCCACCCAAAACATGCCAGGTGGCTTCTGCAAGGTGGTTCACAGCAGCATTAACTTATTTACATTCACTTATTTACATTCTGATGTGGCCAAGAGCTGCTCTGTAGAATAGAATCTTTTTATATGGAAACAAAGAAATCCATTGTGCAGCATACTTGTACAAGTACAACTGAAATGTATTTATTCCACACTTGCCCAAGGTGGCTTGTTGCACGTTTAATTTTTAATTCATTGTCTGTGAATGGCTGGGTTCAAATTCCGTTGTTGAGACTAAGCTCCAGGCAAACACCCTAGTGCAATATAAGGAAAGTGATGCATTGCTCCATTCTTTTAGATGAGATAATAATAATCCTTGTATTTGATACAGCACCTTAGCATAGCGTTGAGACGTCTCAAAGCTCTTCACAGGGTATACTGTAAAGTTAATTGACTGTATATTCTGTGGGCAAAATGCTGCAGTCAATTGCATATGGCAGTGTCCTACAAACATTTTTCTTTTTTTTAAAAGGGATTATTACCCCCCAGAAAGTCATCCTCCAATCGACTAACCTGTTTCTACTTACTGCTAGCTAAACAGAGGCATGTGGACTAAGGGCTTGCCTAAGGTTTCGCCTTGCCCAGGAATTGAATTCAGGTCCTCTCGCTTGCGAGCTACAGGACTCAACAGAGTCCATACAGGAGATGACAAATCAAGGTGGTGGCAGCCTATTTCCAAGTGGATGCTGAAGGTCCCATGACACTATTTGAAAAGAGAAAGAGCTTTTCCTGGTTTCCTAACCAAGAAACTTCAGGACTAATTTTCATTCACCTCATGGCTTTTTGTGGAACCTTGTAAATGCTACTTTTATCTCTAGAATTTCCATGCATGGTGGGATGCATGGAATTCTCAGTTTGGTTTGAATAAGCACGGTAATGGGTTTCCACGTGTATCAGACACCCAGATAACCGAAAAAAAAGCCTACAAAAAGTCACTACAGTAATTACCTGTGATGTACTTTCAGACATTTCAATGTGACAAGCTGCAAAAAAAATGCAAGAGCTTTCTTTCCTACAGCTAACGATTACTTCTAGCAGTGGATGCTGTAACCATGCTCTATATTGTCTGCACTCGCTGGGGACTGAGTAGAGCTCTGTGGGTGCAGGAGCAAGCAGTGAAACATTGATGTGCCCTGGCCAACAATTCCCCCAAATAAAAATTGGTTGATCACTTCATGGCTGTTTGTGGGACATGACGGTGCACAACTTGTCCCTCGTTTTTGCCAACAAAATATCAAGTCATTGCACTTGGCCATAAATACTTCCAGAGTGAAAAGCGACAAATCAAACTAAAGCAAATGCAAGCATTATTATTATCATTACATCTATTGTTGTCGCGTGTTTTCCACAAAGGAAAGTGGCCACCCAGGCAAACTCATTAAAAAAAATGATTTTCAATTGAATGGAGGATCAAAAATGAGGCAGTTTCTTACTTTGCTTCTCCGGTTCTGCTGTTCCTTCTGGGGTCTGGTAAAACTCATTGCACAAGGCGGCCAAGGCTGCAATAACAGCCTCCTGAAACTAACAACAGAAGGTTTGCAGGTGATTTTTTTTGGCAAGCAAGCTCTGTTTCGCAACAAAAGCAACAAGCAGAATGATAGCAAAGAGGAGCGGGACCCAGTCACAAGATTGAATCAAATTAATTTCAGATTCAGCCAACCTTACAAAGGTGAATTAATTCTTATACTGGCAGAAATATCAACTGTATCATACAAGCTTCTAAAATTGGCTTAAAACAAAATACAAAACATCGAACCCAGTCCTCTTGCTTGCGAGACGAGTGCTCTAGCTGCTAAGCTACAGTGGTCAGTGCTCAGTGTAGTTCGAGTTATTTATACCCTTAAGTTTGAAATGGCCGATTTTATTTTATGATACAAATTATATTTGTATCGCGCTTTTCACGTCCGGAGGATATCCCAAGGCGCTGGACAGTCAAGGATTTGCACACAAGCTGGAGGTTGGGGGTCAGGAAGTGCGGGGTGGGTAGGGGTAGGAGGGTGATCGAAAGCGCAGTCAAAGAGCAGATCTTGAGACGGGCCTTGAAGCCGGCAAGGGAGGGGGTGAGGTGAGGATACTAAGGGATGGAGTTCCAAAGGGTGGGTGCAGAAAGGCTGAAGACATCTGGGGTGGGCAGGTTGGGGGACATGGATCAGATAGAGCCCTTCTTTGAAATCTTTTAAACAGCTTTCTTTTAAAATAAAATCCTGTAAATTATTAACATCGGGTTCTGCCAATTGCTGCTGGTAAATGCACTGTAACCGTATAAATCACAAAGACTTCGGATTTAAGCCCTGGTTCATGCTTGGCTTGCCAACCTCAGCTGATTCCACTCTATCCTCTTCCACCGCTTGTCCTCCCACCTCAACCTTCAAGGCCCTGTCCTTGAGTGGTTTAGGTCGTACCTCTCCCACCGTCTTCATTTTGTCTCTGCAAACGGCTTTTCCTCCGGCCCCCGCACTGTCTCGTGTGGTGTCCCTCAGGGCTCTGTCCTCGGTCCCCTCCTCTTCACCCTCTATATGCTCCCCCTGTGGTGACACCATCCGCAGACATGGGGTTAACTTCCACATGTATGCGGATGACACCCAACTCTACCTTTCCTCCTCTACCCTCAACTCCACGACCCCCGATGTCCTGACAGCTGTCTGTCCGACATCGAGTCCTGGACAGGAGACAACTTTCTTCAGCTCAACGTGCGCAAAACTGAGGCTCTCCTGATTGGCTCCGTCAGTGCCTCCGCACCTCAGGCGCTGACACCATCAGCATCCAAGGCTGCACTCTCCACCTCTCAAAGCCATCAGGAACCTAGGGGTTCTGTTCGACCCTGAGCTGTCCTTTCTTCCCCACATCCGCACCACAACTGGTATCGCCTTCCACCAACTCCGAAACATCACCAGACTACGGCACTACCTCACCCCTCACGCGGCTGAAACTCTGGTCCACGCCTTTATCACCTCAAGGCTGGACTATGGGAACTCTCTCCTCGCCGGCCTTCCCGGGACCTCCCTCCACAAGCTGCAGGTCATTCAGAACTCTCGTGTACTGTCCCGCACCAGGCTTCGGGCCCACATCACTCCCACCCTCGCCCTCACCCTCGCTCGCCTCCACTGGCTCCCCGTCCCCCAGAGGATCGAATTCAAGATCCTCATCCTCACCTACAAGGTCATTCACGGCCTCGCTCCCTCCTATCTCTCCGACCTACTATCCCCCTACTTACCTGACCGTACCCTCCGTTCCTCTGGCTCCGGTCTGCTCCACATCCCCCGCCCCAACATCGGTGGCCGGGCCTTCAGCCTCTCAGCCCCGAGGCTCTGGAAATCCATCCCCCAGTGCCTTCGTCTTGCCTCCTCCCTTTCCTCCTTCAAGGCCGGTCTCAAGACCTTTCTCTTCAACCGTGCCTTCAGCTCCCCTCTCGACTCTCTACCCCCTCCTCGCTCCCTCCCTTCCCTCCCCTCACCTTGACCATTTCCCCACTGCTCGGGTCCTGACCCAACTGTCCAGCGCCTTGGGATGTCCTCCCGACGTGAAAGGCACTCTATAAATGCAATCATGTTGTTGTTGTTGATTCCACAACTAATCTGGGTGTCCCTGGTGAGGAAACAAGTCACTGCTCTGTTCATGCTCGCTACTGAATGATCCAGCGCTTTGGCACTCCCTCCCGACATGAAAGGTGCTATACAAATGTAACTTTGTATTTTGTATTGTATCCTGCTGAAAGCATGAATATTGGGTAAAGATTGTCTGACATCCAAAGGAGTTTCTCAGTACCTGTCAAAGAGATCACTGTCCGAGGGGAATTTTGACAGGCAGGAATGAGACATTTGCTTCCATTGTGGGGAAATCCGTTTAGGTAAAAATTTAATCTCTCTCTACAAATTTGCTTGTACTGTTCAAATGATTAAAAGCACTGCTCTATAACTTCATGTTTCATTAGCGTCTTCTGTAAGGAGATAATTTGTAGTAACTATATTACCTTGATTTTCTGCTTTGGAGTGCTTGTAAAGAGGTGCATACTTTTCAGACTGTCATCAATAAGCCACTGCCATTCACCTGAGCAAAGGGACATTTTTTTTAGTGAGAACGTCTCTTGATTAGAGATAAAAAAATCTATTCGTAAAGCACCTTATGGCTCTAACAAACCCCTCTAAAGACCTAATATCTAAAGTCATTTTGCAAAGTGAAAATTAAGCACATCAATTAAGCATAGGAAGAGGATGAAAATATATATCGACTCCTTTTAGATTTCTTGGAAACAAGAATCTTTAAAAGCAAATGTAAAAAGAAAGCAACTTACTAATTATTGGATCATTCTTGAAAGGCAATTTTGACAATGAGAGTTTTTCTATCAAAGAACAGACTGAAACGAAAAAGGCAAGAGAAACGTAAAACATTTCTCCAGTTAACAACAAGCTGCTCTATTCTATACTATTACCGCAGTAACCGTTTCAAGCGCTCTGAGTCTCTGCCCCGTGTGAAGGATGCTATATAAATGCAACTTGTTGTTATTTACTCTTTAGAACTGCATTTTCAGTGCATTTGGTTTAATAATATTAATAATCCTTGCATTTGATATAACGCCTTATCATGTCCTCGAGACGTCTCAAAGCGCTTCACAGAATATACTGTAGACTATGTTTTTAAAAACACAATCTAAGAAATCACATTTTAAAATATACAATAAAAAAATTAACAATTAGGAGGTTGTTTCTGACTGTGCATTAGTAGCCAATTTATATTTTGCAAACAAAATTCCTCAATGAAAATAAAATTTGGAAGCACCATTTACTTTACTTAAGCACCATAAAGGACAGGAAAAGTCCATTACAATTCATCTACATTGCACAGCCTCAAAAGGTTGCAGAAAGATCGATTAAATAGAAGAATAGAATTCTAAAATTTAGAGCACAGAATGGCCTGTCGAGTCTGCACCGGTTCTCAGAGCAAGCTGTTCATTCAATCCCACTGCCCCACTCTACCCATACTTCTTCAAGCTTTTATCTTTCATATAACTAATCAAATGTTTAAAAGGGTGATATCCATAAATTTAGGAAAAAAAGATTATTGAGGGATAATGTCAGAAACAGAGAGATAAAGTCAGAGAGAGAAAGAGACTCAGAAAGAGAGACTCGGAGCGAGAGAAAAGAAGGAGAAAGAGCACTGGCACAACGTGGTACAATGGTGACTGGTAATACTCCAGGTGCAAGAAATTTTGATTAACGCTTCAGCCAATTAGTATTTTATGTGACAACTAATTATCCCCACTGTTCCTTTATCCACAATAGGCTGTGCTCAAAATAATGTGTCTAATCAGCTCTCTACTGTAAAACGTGTACTGATCCACTTTATTGACCTGATCCAATAAAATAGTGGAATAGATTCAATGGCTTTGTGTGGCTGGTCCCACAGTAAAAATAAAATTGCTCTTTTATTTTTTATATCAAAAACAAGGTCATGTGAATACAAGGGTTCTGCTACAGGTTTATATTAAGCAACTGCGTTTATCTCACCAATATCAAATTTGCTGCTAACCCAAAAGCTATTACACGGTCTTGAAATAATTACTAGTTCCTAAATACTGAGCCCGCAAATCTTCTGCGGTGGCAGTCTCTTTAATGGACTTAACCACAGAGAAAGCTGATGAGGTCATCCTAAGGAACTGGGATAAGGCACATGGATCCGCAACAGACAGAGGAAGGATATCAATCAGAATCTTTCGTTTATAGTCAGATTGAAAACATTCGTCGAGGCCTTTATTCCAACATTTGAAAATGAACTCAGATAAATGAACACTGACAAATGAATAATAATCACCCTTGCATTTGATATAGCACCTTAGGGGAGACCTTATTGAAACATATAAGATTCTTAAAGAGCTGATAAAGTAGACACTGAGGGTCTGTTTCCCCTGATAGGAGAATCTATAACCAGGGGTAACAGTTTTAAAACTAAGGGTCAGCCTTTTAGAACAGAGTTGAGGAAACATTTCTTCACTCAGAGGATAGTGAATTTATGGAATTCACTCCCCCAGAAGGCTGTAGATGCTCAGTCCTTGAACATCTTCAAGGCTGAGATTGATAGATTTTTAAAAAAGAGGGATTAGGGGATATGGGGATAGGGCAGGTAATTAGAGTTAGGTCAGAAGATCAGCCATGATCTTATCGAATGGCGGGGCAGGCTCGAGGGGCTGAATGCCCTACTCCTGCTCCTAATTCTTATGTTCTTATGTTCTTATCACGTCATTGAGATGTCTTAAAAGTGCTTCACAGAATAATCCTTGCATTTGATATAGCGCCTGATCACATCTTCAAGATGTCTCAAAGAGCTTCATAGAATCTACTGGAAAGTGAATTGACTGTATGTTTTGTGGGCGAAATGCGGCAGCCAATTGCACACAGCAGTGTCCCACAAACAGTGGTGGATTGAGTGGCTAATTTTTTTTAAAAGGAAATATTACCCCCAGAAAAATGATCTGTCAATCGCCTATCAACCGGGTTCTTACTTACTGCTAAGTAAACGGAGGCGTGTGGAGTAAGGAAACTTGACCAACATTTCGCCCTACCGGGAATCAAACTCGGGTCTCTAGCTTGCGAGGCGAGTGCTCTAGTCACTGAGCTACAGGACTCCACTCCACTTATATATCATAAATTGGGAGTGACAGTGCAATTTATGGGCGATATGCAGCAGCCAATTGCATACAGTGATCCATAAACAGTCGTGGATAAAGTAGCACTATGGCATGTTGAAAGTCTCTCCTCCCCACTCCCAGATTTTCTCTCCTGGAAGCAGTAACTCAGATGGGGATGCAAGTTCAATGAGTTTGATACGTCAGTTAATTGCCTACTTGTGATGTGTGAGACTAGACTGTGAGGTTCAAGAAGGCGACTCAATGAAGGCGACATTATGCAGCAACGATGGCAGCAACCTAATGAACTAGAATTGGGACATTTTTTAGGGTGCAGGTCACCTGCCAATCTGATGGCCCACAAGTTAGCCTTTTTTTTAGCACGGGCAGAGGGCTGGCACACAGGAAGCTGTGCGCATATGCACAGTGAATGCAGAACAACAATCGCACAGAGTTAATAATAATAATAATCCTTGCATTTGATATAGTGCCTTATTGGAGTTGATTGGGAATTTATGGTCCCCGACCACCGCATTTTAGCTGCTGTACATGATTGAACTTCAATTTCAGATTTCATTCATATGGCTAGCCTCGCCACCCACAAATTCAAGGTTGAAAGGTGACATCAAGGATATGTAAGTAGCCTGGCTATCAGACAATAACACACAGGAGTGGACAGTCGTCATTAAATTTGTGCAGTTCCAAAAGAACTCTGCTCACCATTCAGGAATAAATTACTTCCCATATGCTGCCATGCAGAGACCTGTAGCTCAGTGGTTAGAGCACTAACCTCGCAAGTAAGAGAATCTGGGTTTGATTCCCGGGCAGGGAGAAACGTTGGGCATGTTTCCTTACTCCACATGCCTCTGTTTACTTAGGAACCTGGTTGTTAGTTGGTTGGCAGATCGCACTTCTGGGGGTAATAATCCCTTCAAAAAAATAAAATAATAATTTGGTCACTAAATCAACGACTGTTTGTGGGACACTGCTGTGTGCAATTGGCTGCCGCATTTGGCCCACAAAATATAGTCAATTCACTTTGCAGTAGCTTCTGTGAAGCACTTTGAGACGTGATAAGGCGCTATATCAAATGCAAGGATTATTATTATAAGCTCCTTGAGGTTTAGTTCCTCAGTTTCACATGTTGTATGAAACCTACAAGATTAAAACCTACAAGATTAAATAGCAACTTCTGTTTTACACAATAATCTGCTTTCAAGTGCATTATCTTACAGCAAAAACTATACATTCAGATGACACATTTCTTAACATACCTGCTGGTCTCATTAATGCTCCACCCAGTCCCCTATGGAACAGAAGTAAGTATTAGGAATAACTGAATGAAGAATCGAAAGAGGTGATATGTGAAGTCAAGACAGACGTTTCTGACGGGATCCAAATAAAACTGAATTGAAGCAGTGCTGTTATCACTAGCTTCACATGCACTGGTTAGAATCTTTGCTTTACCAAGAGACAAGAAATAAACGGATCTCAGAATCCCTTAATATTTGCACACATTGGAACTCTTTCCGATAACTGAAGCATAGGACGTCAACTTTCTAATCTCGCCCCATGATGTGAGCTCTGAAACCCAGAATCATCTACGCTCTTCTTCTCTGAACCCTCTCAGTTGCATCGACGTGTGTTAAAGGTTGTTTTATTTGGTCGGCCGGGTGTCTGACACATGCGGAAACCCATCACAATGCTTAAAGGTATCCAAACCAAACTGAGAATTCCATGCATCCCACCTACACATGTAAATTCCAGAGATACATCGTCAGAATAGAATGTGCACACTCTCCCTGGAGGAATGCATCCTGCTTATCTAATTCCGGAAAGTATTAGGCACAGGTTGGCAAGAGCCAAGGCTTGTGGACCCGAGAGTGTGCGTTGGGGTAACTGTTGGAGTCTAACCAGCTAAACCGCAAAGCTTGCCATTGATATCACTGTCTGGCAAAGATAGAATGCCAAACATTGTACACAACAACAGCCTCAACACAAAAATAACAAAATTACATTTGTAAAGTACCTTTCACATTGGGAGGATGTTAAAACATTGGGTGCCTCCCCAGTGATCTACACTAGATTACAGTAATTTGTTTGATTTACAGCATACAAGTGCACTAACTGTCATGGGGATCTGAATGTACGTCAAGGAAATCAAAATAATTCTTACCTGTATAGTTTACAATCAAAAAGCTGAAAGAAATAATAAATGTCAAGCACATATTAAGGCTATCTAAATGCTCCACAAAACTCACAGTAATAAAGTCTCACAGTTTTGGTTGTCAAACTGTTAGCAATTTTGATGGTCTGCAAAAAAATAGCATTCTAGCTGAAACAATCAAGATCAACAATGCAATCTTGCTTTTAGATCATGATATTGCACCCATCTCCTTGTGGAGACCTGTAGCTCAGTGGTTAGAGCACTCGCCTCGCAAGCGAGAGACCTGGGTTTGATTCCCGGCTGGGTGAAATGTTGGGCAAGTTTCCTTACTCCACACGCCTCTGTTTACCTAGCAGTAAGTAGGAACCCGGTTGTTAGTCAATTGGTGGATCGCTGCTCCGGGGGTAATAATTCCTTTAAAAAAAATGATGAATTGGTCACTTCAATCCACGGCAGTTTGTGGGACCCTGCTGTGCTTAATTGGCTGGCGCGTTTCACCCACAAAATATAATCAGTTCACTTTACAGTATATTCTCAGAAGTGTCAAAGATATGATAATGTGCTGTATCAAATGCATGGATTATTATTATTATCTCAGAGCAATAACGAGCAGAGTTTAAAGCAACAGTTAATTATTACTAAGATGATAATAAACAAGGAGAAGATTGGTAGCCAAAAAGATGCAGAGTGAGGTTAGAAGAAATTCCTTCACTCAAGGAGGTTGTTTGGGTTTGCAATTCACTGTGACAAGCAGTTATTGATTGACATGAGATCAATAGAAATACTCAAAGGAGAACTGCATAAGAATTTGGGCAGTAGAAATACTGAGGGATATGGAGAAAAGAAACGAAAAGTGGGATTAATAAAAATTGGGTGACTTAATAATGCTGGTAGAAATGGCACAGAACCGATACGTTGACTTATCTTTTTCTGTGCTGACTAATATAATAAACCTTGCATTTGATATCGAGCCTATCACGTCTTCAGGACGTCTCAAAGTGCTTCGCAGAATACATTGTAAAGTGAATTTTCTTTTTGAAGAAAGATTTCTTTTAAAATGCTCCGAACTAAACAATGCATCAATTGAACAATGTTAAATTAACAACAACAAAATTACATTTGTATTACGCCTTTCACTTCAGGATGATGTCCCAAGGTGCTGGACAATCAGTGTTTCGGACCTCAGATTGGGGTCGGGACCGGGAAAGATGGGGGCAGAGGGAGAGAAGGAGTTGACCGATGACACAGTCAAAGAGGAGGTCAAGAAACGGTTCTTGGAGGCAAGGGAGGGGGCGAGGCGGAGGGACTGCGGGATAGAGTTACAGAGGGTGGGGGCAGAGTGGCTGAAGGCCAACAGAAAGCCATATTGTTTGTTAGGAAGCATTTGTGACAAAAGGATAACATGGAGAGCAGTTAGTGTGTAGGACTTAACAACAATGCCAGCTATTTTATCACATACTGATACCCAACACAGAGACCTTTGTTTGGTAAATGCTTAAAATCGAGTTGATGGAATGAACGTTTTAGAAACTGATGTTAAAAGAATGAAAATGTTCTAGGAACGAGAATACTCAACATAGTGTACAGAGTTATAACAAGGAAGTGTCCAGATCTTGAATTGAAGGAACAATTCAAGTTATGTTTCATTTCCAGTGGCAGAGAGTAAGATATGATGACAAAGTAACAGAGAACCCGCCCTCAAAATCAAGAGATTCAACTCAGCAAGAAAAAGTTGAAAAATCAGATAATACATCAGAGCCTTCGGCATGTACTTTGTAAAGGAATTAATTATTGACAGGACAAACCCAGTTCTGAGTTTGGCGACTGGTTGTACTGGGTGTATGATCATAACAATCATAACAAGAATCTGATTTCCGGGAAAACAATTTCTTACACATTAGGTACAAGATTAGGTTGGGAGTAATCATTTGTGTCACATATTTCTATTCTCTCAGGTGTCAAGCCCCCAGTGCTAAGTGTTTTGGAATGTTCTCCCATCATGCAAGGCTTCGTGAATAAATGCAAATTATATTGCATGGTATTTTGTAACTAATGGTATAAAGCATTCCACAACAGCACACTAAGATGGATAATTAGTCATAAAAAATTAGACCTCTGAATAAATGCAAAACCTCAAATTAGGATTTCAGTTGTACCACTTGAATCATACCTTTCGGTGAATGTTCTTGAGATTTTCCAGAATATTCTCAGTAAGGTATTCAGTCACTGACCTGCCAAAACATTCAAACTTTCATGCACAGAAAAGAACAGCTTCTATGAAATTGCAAGTTATTTTTGAACCCTCGAGAAGACAAGATCTTGTCCACACCCAATACCCATAAGCAACCACCTTCCCAGGATAAAGATCAGTTGCGTGACTCCATGACTCTTCCTTGCTGAGTCAGGAAGCTCTGCCCCAGATGAGATCGGCTAACTCTGCGGGTTACAAAGCTGTAAATTCTGATCGACAACAACTATCTGATCTACGTAGCTTTAATGCTGCGGATAGCACCTGTACGCATACGCCCCAAACTGCTCGAGGGTGGAAGTTTCATTTGAATAAGTTTATTGAGAGATAATCCATTTAGTAACTTCAGTTTAAAACAAGGAAAACAAACTTGATTTTATAGCACCTAAAACTACAACATTTGACCTTTTTCAATAATGCTATAGGATATTGACATCCACTTGAATAGGCAGCAACTCCTCAGTTCAATGTTGCATCAATTAAGACAACAACAGAGCAGTGACTCAGAGTGCTTAATGTTGGAGCTTGAAGCCGAGTCAGGGAGGGAGGTAGAGGTAGCTCGGTCAAAGTGTGATGTGAAGGCAGTTAAGGATGGGGTTAGGCGGAGGGATTAGGACAGAGTTCCATAAGGTCGGGGGGTACTGGCTGAAAGCACGGCAGCTAATGGTAGAGCTGAGCGAAGGGGACAAAACCTCTGACAACTTAATGCACAGTAGGTAGTGCATTGTAATGTTAGCCTACAGTAAGAGTTCAAGTCCCGATATGGGGCTTGGAAACCCTTTGGGCTGGTGTTTCTCTCACCGCCCACCCCTCTCCCCACCCACTACGGTTTTTGTTAAAGAAAGCATTAATAATTTTTTTTGCAACAATCTGAATGAGTCATTTCATCATTTTTAGTTTTCATCAATAAAGTGAAAAATGTAGGTTGGAAGTAAAATATATCTCTCAATAGCACCAATCAAATCCCCGCAATTTCTGCAAAAATGTGTCAACACCCCACCCCACCCAATGTAATTTTCCACAAAATTTGTTAAATTTCCCCGCAATATTCCCCGAATATTTGGCAAATATTTCCACAATTTTCAACTGGCCCGGTCCATAATCTTATAACCCAGAGCACACTCTCAACTGAAGCAGTGAACAAAAGTACAGCCTTACTTGCTTTAATCGGGACCATACACTGAACAACTATTAGCCACTATGAGAGAATTTTTAATTTTGTCAGGTCGTAAGTTATTTTATTAAATAATAATGGGATAATATTTAAAGCAATGAAATACCAGCCTCATACCTGTTGTTCTCTACAGAGAGTTTGTACAGAGCAAAAATTATTTCTGCACATGCCAAGATTGCACCATGTCGTGTGTTCAAATCCATGCCCGTTGCTAAGACTAGCAATTGAGGCAAAGCTGGAAGAAACACACCAAATTGAGCACTGGTTACACCAACCTTCACACAAAACGATTAGACTGAAATGTTGATCAGTGATTTGCAATGATTATAAAGAAGTCAATTCGCAACACTTCATAACAGGTGTTTCGGTGCAGACCCACATTGCAAATTGAACTGTTCAATTCTCACTGTTGTTCTGAGAATGAAACCGATCTGATTCTACAAGATCACAGATGCATAAATTATATGGATCAGGTTTCAAAAACAACAATTTACACTAAATAGCACTTTCAAGTACGACTCAAAGCTCTCTACGACTGAATGGGAGCCCGAGCTGGGAGGGAGATGGAGTGGTTGGGAGCATTGGGTGAAATGCATAAAGAGGTAGGTCTTTAGTTTTGAAAGCAGAAAGTGAGAGGGTGAGGAGAATAATAATAATTAATCCTTGCATTTGATATAGCGCTTTTCACGTCTTCTAGACGTCCCAAAGCGCTTCACAGAATAGACTGTAAAGTGAATTGACTGTATATTTGTGGGCAAATGCGGCAGCCAATTGCGCACAGCAGTGTCCCACAAACAGTCATGGATTGAAAATGACCAATTTATTATTGTTTTGTTTTTTTGGAGGGATTATTATTAGGCTCTGTGTGGAGTAAGGAAACTTGCCCAAGGTTTGACCTGCCTGGAATTGAACTCAGGTCTCTCACTTGCAAAGCGAGTGCTCTAACCACTGAGCTACTCCACATAGATTTCAGAATAGTTCCAAAGGGTTCCTAAAGCTCACCTGCTGATGGTGGGCAGAGCGAATGGGAGGCCTAAAGCAAGCGGAGCTTGTGGAGCAAAGCAAAGTGGCTGGAGAAGTAGGGTCAAAGGAGATCACAGAGGTAGGGTTGAGGCATTTGATGGTAAAAACGAAGATTTTAAAAGTTGCACTTGTGCTATTAGCATTACCATTCAAATTAGTACATGAACAAAGAATACAGCTGCACCTTACTTTGTCACTCACCAGTGTTTGCCATGTATTCTGGGGCATGTTGGGTCAGGTTGTGCAGGCTCTTGGCTGTGAGTTCCCGAATAGCACTGTCAAAGTAAAACAGCAATGCATCCTTTAGAGCACCTGTCGAATCATCATTCCCAGATACATCATAAGTTAATTTCAACGGTGTAGATTTCACTTGCACCTCCCTGTTGATTTAGATCGTAAATCATGGTACAACCCAAAATCCGGGTCGTGATCAATGCCTCCTCTCTCCCCAAAACAAGGATTCCAGTTCCAGAGCCTCTGAACAGAGACTCTCCACTGAATGGAGTCCTGTAGCTAAGTGATTAGAGCACTTGCGGGTGGGAGCAGAGAGGGGTGAGGAGAGGAAAAGATACTGTAAAAGATCATTCACAGACTAAGCGAATGGGCAATTTATGGCAGATGCATCTTATCAGAGAAAAAATGTGAAGTAGCTCACATTAAATTAAATAATGGTGATGAAAATACACTTTAAATGGGGAAGCAGTAGGAGGGAGTAGATGAGCATACTCAAGTTGTTGTTGATGTTGATAGGCCGCATGGCCTTCTCTTGTTCCTATATGTCTTTTGTTCTTAAAAGATAGAATTGGTGCCTACATTGAGGAAAACTTCTCCTTAATGAAAATTTCCTTCCTAATCAGCACAGATTTTTTCCCCTTTCCCCAGGACAGAAAACTCAAGGTTGATCCCACGCACACAGCTCAGGAAGATATCAGAGACCCAGGATAGATGGTCTTATGAAGAAAATTCTCTCAAAAAGAAAATACTCCTCCAGCCTTTCATTCGCCTTTGATGACCCTGCTGTAAAAGAGGCTTTAATTTACATTACTGAGGGTTTGAAAGTTTACAGATAATAATAATATTGCATTTGATATAGCATCTTTCTTGTTGGGTGGCGTCTCAAAGCACCTCACAGGATTTACTGTAAAACACCATGAACTCATTTTGTAGGCAAGCAAATGAAGATGAGATCATTCTAACAACATAACATCAAAATAATGGATTACAAGCCTAAGACAATAATGCTATGTAAGTGGATTGTTTTAGGTTTACAGTGCTGTTGTTTTAGGGAAATGGCTGGTGAGAGTAAATCCTGATCTAGGATACACCAACACTTACCAATTACACATTATGCTAACAAAAGCCACACCTGAATGAAACCACCTCTGAATACATTAAATCTCTGTATCATCAGAAAGCATAGAAAAAACTGTTAACACAGCAAATTAAACCCGACTGTTTGCATCTGTCGTAGGGCAAGATATACAACATTTGTCACTGTAGGCTGGTTATTGCTAAAATGAGTAATGGGGTTGAAATAATTCTCAGTAACAAGTTGTGCCAAGTTTTACAACAGTGGAGGCAAAAAGCCAATTTAACCACCTGCTTTGCAGACGGCCACCTACTGTGTGCACTCCCTGAAATGATCCCTAGACTGTACCACAAAGGAAATGCAGGGATGGCAGCTGACATTTGACAATCTATTGCATTCAAGGATTGTGGGTCTCAGCATCGCTTTTAGCTTCTTGCAATTAAAACAGCACTTTTTAGAGAGGGACAGGCAGAGCAGGGGAGAGGAGGAAGAATTTTGAAACATCTCAAAGCGCTTTAATTACTCAAATGCAGTGATGTTATGTAGGCAATCACATGGCTAATTTGTGCAAAGTAAGATCCCACAATCAGCCTAATATAAATGACTAATTAATCAAGACAATTGATGGCTAGAATACTAACTCTAATTAGAAAACTCCCTTCTCTTTTAAGTCGTTCCAATTGTTCTTTAACATCCACCCGAAGAACAAATGGACAGCAACTGGGTTTAGCTTCTCCTCCAAAACGGGTGGAGCAGATAGATCCAGTGAGGAACTGGAACCAGCACAGGCCGAATGACCTCTTCCTCTGCTCTAAGCATTCTATGATGGTGTAAATTCACAAGCTTTTCAGCGTTAATGGCAATGATCTTTTCGTTGTCAGAAATTAATGTGCATTAATTACACATCGCATGAAGTAATTAATGGTCCGGGGTGGGGGGGTGATTTAACAATAAATACATCTCCTTCATTCCAGGTTAATTGACCCACAAGTGTTAAACCAACTTGAAAATACCACGTTCATCTTAAAATCTACCCTAGTTGCTCATTATTCTGAATATAAAGTTATATAAAAGCTTCAGTGCACACCTACTAAATACAAGTTAAATTTCTTACCAATCCCAATGGTTAAACTTCTTGCTTATCAGGTGGTCTATCAGCGGTTGAGTGTACTCGGGGAAACCAACAATGTAGACACTGAGGATTTGAAAGAATAAAAAGTCATTTTATTGCGATTTATGTATAATCTGAATTGCTGAGGAAGACAACACCACGATTACATTTGTATAGCGTCTTTCACGTTGGGAGGCCGTCCCAAGGCGCTCAGCATTTCAGACCCGAGCTGGGGTCAGGGGGGAGAAGGGAGGGGAAGGGGGGGTGACCAATGGCATGGTCGAAGAGGAGGGTTTTGAGGCGGGACTTGAAAGAGACTAAGGAGGGGGCAAGGCGGAGACATGAGAAGGGGGTAATTTGCGATATGTAGGTATCCAGATTTCAGGAACTCTCATCATCTGCTGATTTCCATCTAACTCTCAGAATTTACCAGCAATGCTGTTTGGCTGTAATTAAATTTCATGGATTAATATTGGAGTAGAATTCCAGTCAGTGGGTCGGACCAAGACATAAATGCATCTTAACCCTAAATTGTGCACATTATTCAATGTGAAAGGCACCTTGTGAAGAATGTTTGTTTAAAAGGAGTTTGGATAGTACATATAAAGAAGGTCTCTGTAGGTCTCTAACCATTCAATGGCAAGTGCCACTGGCAGACAGATCATGTAATAATCACGTGGGTTGGTTCACAGTTCAAAAGTTACCTGATCTTCAGATAGCAGTGGGTACGATTCCCAACTGCAAAGTAATCTGCTGCAGTGAGTATATCGATCCCATGAGGAAATGTGCCCTAAAGAAGAAAGGGCATTAGTTCCGTTAAGATAAAATTGTCAGATTAATAAAAGACATCCTCTACAAAGAGGAACAGAGAACACAGACCTTAGAGAGCACAGAGCTTATAGAGCCAGCACAGGCACATTAAGAGGAATTGCCTTGTGTGCTGTGTGCTGACCCTAGATCTTAAAGTTATTTAGGAAGTGTAAATCAATCTCTTAAAGAATGAATAAGAGCCACTCCGTTTCAAAGGAGCCCAGTGCAGGGAAGAATACTCTCTCCGACGTGGCAAATTCTTAACCACAAAAAGATTTAATCCTTCCTTCCTTTAAAAGGTAAACATCTGGCGTTATTTTTTTCCATCTCACGAACATGTGAAATGCCGTCTCTCAACACTACGCTCTTCCATAAGTACCTCTCCTGCATATTCATGCAGATCAGAATCATAACAAACTATTGTTCAACCTACTTATGTACTGCCATACTTTCGAGCAGAGACACTGGCAAGTAGGTGTTTAGCTCCAAGCCGCATGGAATATTTATCGGGGCAAAAGGTATGTGAGAGTGAGGTTTGACTGGAGAAAAACACCATAAGACAAATAGCTTAGTTCTGTGGTATCTTCTATATGCCAACAATTCTGTTTATTGACGTGCAAAAGTTTAACATAACAAAAGAAAACATGATTTTATTCTCTGCTCCTGGATATCCCGAGTCTTCTTGCAGTGGGGAAATCAGGTCTGGAGGTAATGACAGCTTACCTCCAGATCTATATGGGTGTCACCGACATTGGAGGTGAGGGAGGGATGGAAGCTGGCAATATTATGACAAAGGAGGAAAGCAGGCTTTGAGAGAGAGTTAGGACATGAAGTAACTTACCAACACACCAACAACAGTGGTTGAAGCAGAGTCCATAAATAGTTTTTACAAAGTAAATAAGACAAGTGCAGGAAGCCAGCTAGTTAGCGCCAAAAGCCAGGTGTACCATATTTTGGTACTGCGTGGGTCCACAGTAGCCATGTGTTCCAAGCAACCCTTTGCTCAACCAGGACACATTCCATCAGGGTCACCTTGTATCTAGGCTGACCTCTACTAAAGCAGGTATAGTTAACGTTTCATTTTTTTCTCTTTCTTCCTCTTATTTTTTAGGCAAGAACTTAGTTACATAGAACTTCAGTTTCAAAATGTCAAGTTAAGTATAACCTGAGCAATTTCCCAGTCAAATGCTGGATATGCTTCATTCTCAAAGTTTCATTATTCTCTGTGGCTCAACAAACTTTGAAGTAAAATAAAGCAATGTTGATTGCCTGACTCATCACTGAATCTTGGAGGTGTGGACACGTTCTCAATCCCCGTGAGCCAAAATCTCGATCGCATTTTTTTTGGCTTAAAAAACCTCCTGTCTCTTTGACTGTATTTTGTCACCTAGAAGTGTCCTTTGCTAAGTACTTTGAAACATTCCTTTATGTGAATAAAACTGCAAGTTTGTTGAAATATTGTGACCCTATTGGAAACCCCAAACTGTAACAGCTGATTCTAATCCCATTTTCTATGATCAGCACAGAACAAACTGAAACTGGCAGGTGGTATTGTCTAATTAATGAGCTGCATACAGTAAGTACTTCAAACTACTATACTGTATGCAGATTTTCACACAATAGTAATAAAGAATAATAAACATGGTTACAGTACCTGCCGTCCAACGTTCTCTTGGAAAGCAGCCTGAAGAGACAGTTCATGGATGAAAAATAAATAAGTATTAGTTTCAGGTGCATACTGTCACATACCACAGCCAACAAGAACTTGCATTTATAAAGCGCCCTTCATGCGGGGTAGAGTCTCGGAAAGCTGAAAACAAATCATTTCCTCAGATCCAAGGATGGTCACTCTGCTGCTCAAATGTTCCTCAGAACCAAACTTTGAATGCGCCTTTCTGTCCCTTTCCCATCATGTGGCCTCCCACCTGATCACCTCTGTTAAGTTAGGGGGAATTTGAGTGGAGGAATGGGAGAGATCAAGTCCGCTGGGACGTCTCTAATGTGACAATAGATATCTCTATGGAGAATCTCTGTGTAGATTGGGAAAGAGAAACAATATCAGACTGAAATCCCAAAGTGGAGTCCTGTAGCTCAGTGGTTAGAGCACTCGTTTTGCAAGTGAGAGACCTGAGTTCAATTCCAGGCAGAGGGCGAAACCTTGGGCAAGTTTCCTTACTCCACACAGAACCTAATAATAATCCCTCCAAAACAAAAAAAAAACAATAATAAAAAAAAAAATTGGTCATTTTCAATCTACGACTGTTTGTGGGACATTGCTGTGCGCAATTGGCTGCCGCGTTCGTCCACAAATATACAGTCAATTCACTTTACAGTGTGTTCTGTGAAGCGCTTTGGGACGTCCTCCCGACGTGAAAAGCGCTATATCAAATGCAAGGATTATTATTATTATTATTATTAAAGACTTTGTTTTATTTCATTTCCTTTTCTGTGTTTGAAATAATACTATGTGAAATACAGGAATCCCTACAGCGATGGAAAGACTAGAAATAATATATATAATTTTCTTTTAAGAACTAACATTATGGGATATAGTACATAGATACTTCGGGACGTATGTGTATACGACTGCCAGGAAAGTGGAAGGTGAAATAGATGGACCTTGGTCTTTTTTCATCTAGTATTTCTTAGTTTTTATGTTCTTATATCTGTCAACTAATTCTTTTTCAGTAAGCCCTAATGTATCTTGTACAAGTCATAAATGTATTTAGACCCAGATTTATAGGTGTTTAAGTATATCATCATTCCAAACAGGCCCAGGTACAAACCTGAGCCGTGACTCATGCTTATTGAAATATCATCTATAGCAACCATCATAACTCAACAAAAAAGGACTGGATTAAAAAAAAGACGAGTTTCACTGAAGGTGGAGTTGAAACTGTACCAAGTAACAGCGGATCAACAGGATAAACCCGACTAAAGCTGAGGTTAATAAAACTTGCTCTCAACAGAATTTTTATTCAATCGACCAAAGGAAGCAATTCTACTTATGTTATATTAAAGAAAACTGGAGGACATGAATTCATTCTGGGTTCTCTATTTTACAACTGTAATCAGTATGTTGCAGTCGGTGGCACTCTTGCCTCTAGGTCAACAGTTTGTGGTTTTAAGCCTCATATCAGGATTCAAGTTCATATTGGGAGAAATTTTAGTTTTTTCCTTAGGATCATTTTAGACCGTCACAATTTGGCAAATTGTTGAAATCAGTCTCAGTTTTGGAGTCAGTTTTCTGTATTTCTTAAAAGAGCTTACAGAAATCTGGTTTCACAATGAAGGCTGCATTTGCGACTTTGGATTCTCTAAAAAGCTGTAGATTAAGAGTAAATTTTGACCAAGGTGGAATTTTGCTGAGAATACAAATTTTTTTTTTTTTTTTTTTTTTTTGGAGTGGGTAGTGGGTCAGCCAGGTCTCTGACACGTGCAGAAACCTATCATCATGCTTAGGAGTATCCAAACCAAGCTGAGATTTCCATGTATCCATCCCACCTACACATGGAAATTCCAGGGTTAGATTATTGGAATGGAATGCGCACTCTCTCTCTCTTCCTGAAAGAACGCATCTGAGCCAGGCTGGCGGTTACTTGGTCACAGAAGACTTACCGAGGCAGCTCTGCGACAGTTTACATTCCGGTCAAATATTGCAGCTATCACCAACGAGCTAAAGAGAGATTTTTTTTAAAAAAATAGCATATTATGGTCAATGCTTCAGGCAAAACTTAGAAATTATGTTTATACATAAATATTCCTAAAAATCATATCTGAAACGAGTAATTGGATTTACGTTGGAAGTAAGAAAAATGATAGTGCCTTTCAAATTGGGAAGACAACTCAAAGCATTTCAGAGCTGACTGGGAGCCTGATGTAGAGCGGGTGGAATAAGGTGATCAAAAGTGCAGCCAAGAACAAAGATAGTAAAGCGAGTTTTAATGGTGGGGAGGGAGGGGCCAGCCAGAGGAACTCGAGGATGTAGTTCCAGAAAGTGGGCAGAATGGCTGAGAGCTCATCGCATTGGGCAGGGAAAAGGCAACAGGCCAGTTTTAGCTGAGCCTTGGGAGCTGACGGAGAACCCAGAGTGGAAAGGGTTGCAGAAGGTTATTGAGGTAGGCTGGGCGAGGCTGAGGAGGACAGGATGAAAGTAGGGAGAGAGGGGGGAGGATGAGAGTAGGCAAAGGCATGCTGAGGAAGATGGGTCAGAGCAGGGGTAGGAGTTGGCAGTGAATGGAGCAAGGCTGTATTTTCTATTTCAAAATGTGACCGAGGAAGACAGACAGATTATACATCTTTTTATTCATCTCTATTATTGAAACTAATTAATTGAACAACTATTACATTAAAATAATTTATATTTGCAGCGTTCTACCAATACCAAGGTAATAAACTATCAGCTAGAAAGCCCTAAATATATTACTATGATACAGTACAAAGTGATTTACCTCATAAGCATTTGTCAAAGGGAATTGAATAAATATTTGACGAAGAACAATACAAAAAGGGATGGAGAAGGGATCGTAGAATTGGGATTAGAGTTGACTAGTTCCAGTGGAGGTGCTAACATAGCGTAGACCTGATGGACCAAATGGTCTGCGCTGTCATTTCTTGAATTTTATGTCTAAATCTCTTATGGAAATACGACTATTGCGACAGAAACGGAGGAAACAATACCAATACAAGCTAATAGAAGCGCTGCTTAGATACAATATGCAATGCTGTTGGTTCCCACGTTATCCCACAAAAATACAATCTACAGTAAATTCTGTGAAGCACTTTAATAATAATCCTTGCATTTGATATAGCGCTTTTCACGTCTTCTAGACGTCCCAAAGCGCTTCACAGAATAGACTGTAAAGTGAATTGACTGTATATTTGTGGGCAAATGCGGCAGCCAATTGCGCACAGCAATGTCCCACAAACAGTCGTAGATTGAAAATGACCAACTTTTTTATTATTGTTTTTGGTTTTGGAGGGATTATTATTAGGCTCTGTGTGGAGTAAGGAAACTTGCCCAAGGGTTTAGCCCTCTGCCTGGAATTGAACTGAGGTCTCTCCTTGCAAAGCGAGTGCTCTAACCACTGAGCTACATGACTTGAAATGCATTTGACAATGCGATAAGATGCTATATCACACACGAGGATTATTATTATGAAATGGCTCTTTCCCAGTTAAAAGCTACTTTGAGACAGGTTACATTTTAATATGCCTCCCTCGCTCCCCGCCTCTCTCTCTCTCTCTCTCTCTGGTAAGAGAAGTATGAAAAAAATTGTCTTCAACTCTTTCAGCTTATGAATGCTTTTCACTGTAAGCAGTTATCTTTAAAACAAAGAGGATTTTAATGGAAAAGTACAGACTATAGCAACGCAGCAACATGTCTTAACTTGTTATCAGACTCGTATAACTTGTCCAGCAACAAATGGAAGGCAACCAACTACATTTCTGAGATACAGTCTTCTCTTTCACGTCAGTGGAACAAGATGTCATTTCGAAATCTACTGAACGCAGGAATATGAAACTGCATGCGCGGCCTGTGCAGGTATAAGTCATAAACCAGAGAATAGTTCTGGAGCGTTTCTAGTGCACATAGTTGGTCTTGCATCTTAAGAGGGTCAAAAGTTCAGCTTCAATTGACAATCCTAACCTAGACTTGCTTCACCGCCCCAGAACAAATAGACTACACCTGAACATTCAGTCTCGGAGTCATGAAAATATTTCTGGCAAAAATGTTTTCCAATTTTAAACCCTGCCCGAAGGCTTCTTTTCCTTCTGCTGCAATGAGGCTCCATGACGCCCCCTGAGACTTATCCAAGACTTATGTAGAAAAGGGCGATTGTTCGATGGGCTGCTTCTTGACACCCCCAGCAGCCACATTTGGCTGTCCAGGCAATGGGTTGGCCACAACTGAAGTTGGCAGTACTCAAAGCAGGAGCATTCGCAATGAGAATCGGCAGATTATTTAGCTGGGGAACGGAAACATAGTCAATTCCTAATTCTGCCTTCAACAATAAATCGCATTTATGCAGCATCTTTCACGTCAGGAGAACAATCCTGTTCACCCAACGTTCTCACATCTGGGTGGAAATCCCAAAAAGCGGTCTCTGAAGAGCAATCAGGAGTGGGAATTGGGGCTGATTTTCTCTAATCTCTAATTGTTAAAGACAATTGTGGCTCAACTACGTGAAGGATCAAGTGGTCAATAAAGCACCAAACATTTAAAAAGTCAGTGTCTTGGTGCTTCACTGAGGTCTTCTCCTAATCCATTTCTCCTTCTAATTTATAACTATAGAGGCAGAAAAGTTTAACGAGTCAGGGTTGGGCAAACAACCAACTTTCTACCATGTAATTCAAAGTTAGAAATGAACTGAGACTGCAAAAAATATTTGCTTACATCAATAATTTGTAGAAACTCGGATTTGTTTAAATTTAAGGCCAGAAAATAGTGGTTTTACTTCATGCACATGCAAAACAAAAACTAAATTCGATTTGTTTGTAATTATTTTCATTTTACATGAGCAAACGTGTGTAAAAAAATATAATCCCTGGTAATCGAGTTGGGAGGGTTCCGTAGAACCAAGCATGTCTGCCTGCTTGATACCTGATATTCTGGTGAGCAGGGAGGGTACAGGGAGGTGGCTTTATTGTGGTCATGCATGTTTTGAATCCATGGCACGCAAGTTAAGGCACTACAGATTATCCATCTTTCTTAGCATGTGAAGCAGCAGGCGCTTGGAACTCTAACCTTGGCTTTAGAATTCATGAACGTCAGACTCTATCTTAAAACTAACCAAAATTTATGCTAAAGAAACTCGTCAACACTCCCAACATCAGGCAGATTAAACAAGATTTCTAACTCCTACTCCAAAAAACACTATCACTGAAGACTGGGGAGATTTTGCATATGAAATCAGACCTATACTGTACACAGGCAATTCAGAACGTGGCTTGGAGTACAATTGCACAATACCAAAAAAGTTTGGATGAAGAAGGCCCTTTGGCCCCTACCCCTGTTCACACTACCAGAATACCAACTCCTGTTACTTTTGTAATGCTTGTTAGGATTAGTTTTCGCATTACTGAGGTCAATCTTAAACAACAACAACAAAATTACATTTATAGAGCGCCTTTCAAGTCGAGAGTACTTCCCAAAGCGCTGAACAGTTAGGTGTCAGGGCCCGAGCATCGGGGAGGGATGGGGTAGGGGTGAAGGAAGGCAGAGAGGTGGGAGGGCAACCAAAGGCACGGTCAAAGAGAAAGGTCGAGACCAGCCTTGAAGGATGCAAGGGAGGAAGCGAGGCGAAGGGACCATGGGATGGAGATCCAGAGTGTGTGGGGCAGAGAGGCTGAAAGCCCGGCCACCGATGGTAGGGCGGGTCGGGCGGGAGACATGGAGCAGGCCGGAGCCTGATGAATGGAGGGAGAGGGAAGGTTGGTAGGGAGTTAGCAGGTCAGAGAGGTAGGAGGGGGCAAGGCCATGGATGGCCTTAAAGGTGAGGACAAGGATCTTGAACTTGATCCTCTGGGGGATGGGGAGCCAGTGGAGTCGGACGAGGGTGGGAGTGATGGGGTCACGGAGCGTGGTACAGCTTGTGAAGGGAAGAGCTAGGAAGGCCAATGAGGAGGGAGTTTCTGTAATCGAGCCTTGATGTGACGAATGCTTGGGTGAGGGTTTGGGCAGCCTGAGGGGTGAGGCAGTAGCGGAGTCTGGCAATGTTGCGGAGGTGGTGGTAGGCAGTGCCGGTCATGGGGCAGATGTGGGTGAGAAAAGACAGTTCGGGGTCAAACAAGATACCCAGGTTCCTGACTGGCTTAGTGAGGTTGAGTGTGCAGCCGTGGAGGCTGATGCTGCCAGCGCCTGTGTTGCGGAGGCGCTGGCACGAACCAATCAGGAGGGCCTCGGTCTTTCTGACGTTGAGTTGGAGAAAGTTGTCCCTCGTCCAGGACTTGATGTCGGTCAGGACGCCAGTAGTCCTCGAGTTCAGGGTGGAGGCAGAAAGATAGAGTTGGGTGTCATTAGCATACATGTGGAAATTTACCACATGTCTGCGGACAATATCACCGAGGGGGAGCATGTAGAGGGTGAAGAGGAGAGGACCGAGGACAGAGCCCTGAGGAACACCGCACGAGACAGTGTGGGGGCTGGAGGAGAAGCGGTTTGCTACGACGAAGTGGAGGCGGTGTGAAAGGTGGGACCTGAACCAGTCAAGGACAGAACCTTGAAGGTTGAGGTGGGAGGAGAGGCAATGGAGGAGGATTGAATGTTCCACAGTGTCAAAGGCGGCGAAGAGGTTGAGGAGGACGAGGAGGTAGAGGGAGCCCTGGTCACACATGGTCAGGATGTCATTTGTGACCTTGACCAGAGCAGTTTCCGTGCTGTGGGCAGCACAGCATAGGCATAGAATGGGCGATAAATTATATTTATTGATGGATAAGAATCTTTGGACTTTACGTTTCATCATATGAAACAGGAGAGAAAATGAGGCATAATGGAACACAGTGTAACGAACAACATGTCAACTATCTGTTCACATGTCTAACCACATGTCCTCTCGTCCACATAGGGGCTCTGGCTCAGAAGCGGAAATGAAGTGCAACATTAGCAAAACTTTTTAGGTGTATGTTGCATGTCACCAGGTTTGAGATTTTTCCTAAACAGTGATTAGAAAAATC